GGAAAGAACTTGTTGCAGGCTGGGGATATAGCTCAGCAGCAAAAGCACTTGCCTGGCAAGCATGAGGTCATGAGTTCAATTCCCAGTACCAAAAAAAAAAAAACAAAAAACAAAAAAAAAACTTGTTGCATGTATGGAGATTCCTTTAGCTAGTATCTGATTTTCAGTGATGCACTAGGGCATGGTGAACATTGGGCTTTTGCCTTTGTTTCAAGATCCATCCACCTCTCTTAATTTGGGATAGGAGGCTACAGTGTAATTGGCCTAGTACCCAGTTCTTCAGGTATGGGCTGCAGTATTGTCAATGACACAAAAGCATTCCAGATATTGGCATACAGAGAAAACCAATTAATAGCAACAACTATGCTACCCTGGTAATAACAATAAAGTCAGCACAGTAGTAGCATCAAAGATGAACTGGGTATTGCCATAACCTAAAACCCTCTAATATAATACCCTTAACTGTGGAAAAGAGACCTAAAATTATAATGTGAACATTAGGACAAACCAAATACTGACCTGGTGTAAATATCTACTAAATATGACTATACCTCCACTAGCAAGAGGAAAGTATTTAGTAGTAAGAGCACAAAGTTAACTATCTACAGATTAATAAAGTCCAATGGCTTTATAGTAAAGATAGAGGTAATGGGTAGTGGAGAACTAGAAAAGTGAAATTTGAAAAATTAATCAGTGGAAGATGAGGAGGGGAGAAAAGTGAGATAAAGGATTCTGTTATGGAATAAAAGGAAATTAATAGGATCAGATAAAGGCAACAGAAAAGAAAAAAAAAACAAGAAAAAGAAGGGAAAAAACAGAGCAAGATAAAGAAAAAAGATAAATGTGAAAGAAACAAATTAAAAGGAGAAAAAGAAAAAAGAAAATAAGAAAAAACCCCACTCCACCCAAATCAGTGAGGGGGAAAAGAGAAAAAAGTTAAAAAAAATTCTTCTGTATTTTTGAATGGGTACTTTTTTTCTAGGACCTACAGTAAGTCAAGATTTTCTCTGCCTACCTTTATGGCCTGTGGGTATGTGAGGTGCCTCTTTCCCCTACTGCAAAGATTCCTCTGTCCATACTCCCTTGTTATGGTTTATATCTATTGTAAATGTCCCTCTAAACTGTCATGTGTTCACAGGTGGGGCTTCTGGGAGGTGGCTGGATCATGGATGCATACTAGCTTATGGGTGTGTCATAACTCTACTAGTCCACTTCTTGCTCTGGAAGTGGATAATGGAGAAGCCCACCTGGGTGTGGGTGGTACCAACCTGAATGGGATAAAAAAGGAAAGAGAGGCTTGCTGCTTGCTGCTTTCTCCCTGCCCTACCATGGACTTTTTCTTCTCTGCAATTCCGCTCCATCATACTGTTCTTCTGTCTTGGACCCAACTGACTATGAGTTGAAACCTACAGACTGTGAGCTCCAATAAACCTTTTCTTCTCTAACACTGGGTGCTGGGTATTTTGTTCCAGCAATGGGAAAGTAACTGAGACAATCCCAGACTGTGGCAGCTATCCCGGCCAAGGCATAGCCTTTCTTATGTTGGTAGATAAGGAAAGCAATCAGAGCCCTGCCTTGTGCTGGATGTAGGCCGCAGGGTGGGAGTTCAAGTAGAACACTAGACTTCATGCCAGCACTTTCAGATCCAACTGCTTCTGTAAGCTATCCTCACTGGGCCTGGCTCTCACCATCGAGGGCAGGGCCCCATGTCCTTCCTGCCCTGAGCTTGAACTTCTCAGGGGTTCTCTGTTAGCACACACCCTCTCCAAAGCTGTCTCTTGTGGCTGTCTCTCTCACCTAGTCCCCGTGGTAGAGTAACACGGGAGACTCTAATGTGAAGTTGTTCTGTGGCTCAGTCTTGTAATAATCCTTCCCCAGATGGCTCTTGATTAAACCTTTTCTGAATAGCGGGCACGACACTGGGTTTCCTTTCCCACTTCTAGCTTGCCATAAAGAGATTTAAAAAGAAGCCAACTCCATAGACACCTTCGGAGTTTAGTTTTATAATAAAAATGGTTTGGATAATTTTTTTAAAAGGAGTACTTTCAGAGTATAATTTCATGCTATTTTTGTAGTTCGCAGTTGCCATAGGCTCCTCTTGGGATGAGCACTGCTGGTTTGGTCCATTATTTTTTCACTAGTCAGAGACCTGTCAGTGATCTGCAGTTTATCTTCTCTCCTGGGGACTTGTACATGATCAGGTTGGTCGTTTGGTTGGCACTTCTGCTGTTCCATGCTGAGGGGAACCGAACTGCAGAGTGGACTCAGAGTTGGTGGGTGACGTGGCCAGGGCATGGAATCCATGGTGTGGAGTAGGCTGGGTACACATGTGGCTTCTAAAGTTATAACATTATAACTTTTACATCATAGTACTGAAGTTACAAAATATAGAGACAAGTAAAGATCACTCAAGGGCCTTACTGTCTGTGGAACTGGTTACCCACAAGGTCAGATACTGGTTATACTCAGGGTATGGTGTCCTCTTCGATGATATCATGACCTTGTTGTTTTATTTTTGTTTTTGTTTTGGTTTGGTTTGGTTTTTTTCTGGTACTGGGAATTGAACTCACTACCTTGCACTTGCCAAGTAGTTGCTGTGCCACTGAGCTAAATCCCCAGGCCCTCATGCCCTTGTTGTTATCTTTGTGTGGAGTTTACAGAGATGCAAATGTGTTCCAAAATTATATGGGTGAGCTTGCGATGGCTAACTTTACATGTCGCTTTGGCTGGGGAATCAGATGCCTTTGTAGCTGGTCAAACATTATTCTGTGCATTTTTGTGAGATTTTGGCCTGAGATTACTATTTGCATCACTGGACTGAGCAAAGCAGGTTGCGTTTCATAATGTTGGTGGTCTTCATCCAACCAGCTGAGGGGGCTGGGGATTTAGCTCAGCGGCGCAGCGCCTGCCTGGCAAGCGCAAGGTCGTGAGTTTGATTCCTGGTACCAGGAAAAAAAAAATCCAATCAGCTGAGGGACTGAACAAAGCAAAAAAGCTGATCCTCCCCTGAGGAAGAGAGCAGTTCTTATCTAGTGACACTTGAGTGGAACGTTAGACTTGCTACTTACAGATTGGAATTGAAATAGTGGCTCTTCGTGGGTCTCCAACTTAACTACCTGCAGACTGGAACCACATTATCATC